CAGGGGAGTGGGAGTGTGAGCAGAGAGGATGCTCAGAAGTACCCAGAACTCTTCTGGCCATGTATCACTACTGTGCTCAGGGCATTTTCTGGTAATTTACTTTATTTCATTTCCACATGTGAGCACTTGATGGTTACTCTCTGTGAGACATAAAGGTGACAGAGACTTAGAGTTCCTGGATCTGCTCCAAAGACTCCTGACATATTAAGGGATGGCTTCCTACCAGCCTACAAAGACATTCCACAAGATTCCCCACAGCTAGAGTGCTGAGATGGCACTCAAGCTGCAGCATCCAGACCCAGATCCCACCTACACTAACTACTGACATGAGGATGAGCCAAGGTCTGGGGTTTTAGGACTCAGTAGTTCATTTGGAAGCCAGTGTTTAAACAGATCTGAATTACAGATTAATTTTTAAACTGTGCAGTCTTTGCATGGCATCTATAGGTATTCCAGTCTGGAGTATAGCCAAACTCCTCTCTGTTAGTGTCTAAAGGAAAGGGGCAGTTCACTTGGGAAAAGTGAACATTTCACACATGCAGTGAAATCCTAGACTGAACAGACCTGCTAATATACCTGCTGGCACAGCTAAGAACAGATGCAGGAGACAGTCTCCTGTTGAGGACTCTGTCCCCTTTGCAGTCATCAAAAAGCACAGCAGGAGTCCTGCCATCAAAGATCCACTTTTGTTCCAAAGGGAGGTCTCCATGGAGACACAGGACTGAGGGTTGGGAGGGCTTTTAGGACAGGAGTGGGAGAAGGGCACAGGAAGGCAGAAAATTTGCACATTTGGAGGGGTCACTGGCACTGGAGCTTAAAAAGAGCAATTTGTTCGGTCTAACAAGAGTACAGGCTTTCAGGTGTGCTCCCCAGACCCACTTGGATGTACAGGGAGATGCACACATCTGCACCACCTCCAGGGGATCTTCCTTCAACCGCAAAGCACTGCAGTGGATTTCAGGGTTCAGAAAAGTAGCAGGAAGGTTGTGCACTTTGCCTTGCCTCCCAGTCCCTTCAGCTCCTTTTGTCACACAAAATTACACATTGCTAGATCAAAATATGACTCAGGGTCCACACCAGTTTTCACCCTTCACTCACACTTGCCCTCACAAAACCAAAATATTAACTGTCCTCAGCTATAATTCCCCTTTGCTTCTTTCCATATGAAAAGAGAAGCTCTTGGTAAAGCCCTTTATTAGTAGACTTTTAAGGGCAAAAAGGATCACCGTGATCACCTCCTCTGGCATCTTGTATGATGGATGCAACTGCACTTGAGTGATTCCTGCCTTCCTGCTCCTGGCTTCCACTTAGGATGTACCTTCTCCTAAATTAGTACTGGAAAATCCACCACGTGCCCTAGGCAAGCCACTCCTACATTAATTAACTTTGCTGTGCTAATTTATAGCCTGAAGTCACTCAATTTCACTTTCAAGCAAGGGGATGTCATGGCTTTTTATTATTTATTTATTTATTTATTTATTTATTTATTTTTAGTAGATGAAAGGGCTCTTTTCTGGCTAACATTTATCTGTAGATGTGAGTTGTGCAGTACAAAGAGACCAGATGGTTCCACTAAGAGCGAAGCCTCAGATTTGTGTGGTGAATCCTACACACGTAGACAACACAGCTCAGGCACAAGGAAGGTGTGATACAGCCCCCACACTCCTCACCCCACACTTTTTACTTAATCTGATTACCTTTCTTGGCACTTCGAGTCACTTAGCCCCTTAGCATGGTAACAACAGCCTAAACAAATGAGGAGTTTTGCCTCTCATTGGTTTAATTAAAAGCCCCACAAAAATATCGGATAGAGTTCTGAAACCACCCTCGGCCAACAAGAAGAGAGAACATTCCCCTTGGGCTTGCATCTTTTAATACAATGGAAATAAATCTCATGTAATGTACCATAACACGACAAGGGAATGGCTTCTTAACAAATACTCATTTGAAACTGTGCCCAGGCCCCATGCGTGCTAAGATCTATTTCTTGCAACAGTGTTCCAGCAAAACTGATTACTAATTCCAAAACTCAAATTAAAATTAACAGAGCTTGAAGGCTGGGTCTGACACGCGTTCCCTCTCTTCTGACAGAGAACAAGAGTTTTTAGCATGTGTGTGTGTGTGTGTGTGTGTTTAGTTACGTTGTTTAACATTTCGGGATTAAATTAGCAGCCAGACTGAAGACAATAATACACTTAACTACTTCTCTCTTGCAGGAATAACTTCATCAACATTGCATCTGGGGCCACATGTGCACAGGTACATGAGTTCTATACCCACCTCTGCCCCTGTGCAAGCAGTCCAGTGTACCTGGCTGGCACTGTCCTGATTGCACCACCATACGCTTCCAGCCTCCTCTTTTGGAGCAGCATCCTGAACCCTGCCTACAGCTCTCTCTCCCCCTTGGCTCTCATGAGTCCATCAGCAACAGTAAGATCACAACAGCTGTCAAAATTGCCTATTTGTTTGGGGAGGTGCTTACTGTTATTGACTTTGTGAGCCAGAAAGACTTTCAAGGGACAGAGTTACAGTGGAATGGGTATTGGAAGTGTTGCCCTTGCACTGCTCCATGATGCAAGATGCAGGGATTTCAGACACTCACAAAAGCTAGTTCAGACATATTGTCAAACACTAAAGGAAAACAAGAGACTGCTTCTCAACTACAGAAGAAAATTATTATTCAGAAGAGGTTAAACAAACATTTTCTCCAACAGATTTACTTGTCTGAAATGAAGAAGGAAATCATGCCCAACTTAGCATCTACTGCTCTTTTTTGGTTCCTCTTCCTTCTCAGCAGAGAGATCCTTCTTGCTGTCTGTCCCTGAGAAAGGGACTAACAACAGAGGGAGGGAAGGTAAGCACTGGAAAAGCTACACAGAGAAGGTTTAAAAGAAATCAGGTGTGACAGCTGGAAGGGATGGGAATGAAAGAGGAGTCTTTGATGACAGCAGAGCAAAAAGGTTGGTGACTCCTGCAGAGATTAGTGGGAGAACTCCAAGCACTCACCGTTCTCTGCATTGAACAGTTTAAAAGCCGCAATGAAGGGTGTGTCCCTTTCCTTCCAGCTCTCATTCATTCATGAGAGATGTTAAGTCAGAGCTATAATCAGGTACTAAATGGTGGCAAATGCTACAGACAGCTAATTACACTTTGCATAAAGATTTATGTCATAGTACAAACATAAGTTCCTTCAACGGCTTCTGATATTCTTTCACTGACTAGAAAGTAGAAAGAGGCAATTAGAAAACATGTATCTACTTCATAGCTGAACTTTCTCATCTCCACTGATTTTCTCAAAACATTTCCATTACCTGTTGGCTTAGCCGTGTTTCTGTACTTCAGAAAGAGCAACTGAATTTTCTCAAACACTAGAAAGAATACCAGAAAAGCCAGGAAGCCAGCAGCCCTTCTCCTGTTTCCTCTCCAACACTCTATTAATTTATATTTCCTCTCCCCATGATATTCAATATATGCTACAGTAACACAAGCACTCTT